GTTCCTCTCTCTCTCTCTCTCTCTCTCTCTCTCTCTCTCTCACTCTCTCTCTCTGCGACATCCAGTGTCAATCTTTCCTTCGATTAGCACCTAAAAATTGTCAAAGACCGAGACAGTGCATGTATTGTATCCTTTTTCCTTTGGTCGCCATCTCTCTCTCTTTTTTTTTCTGGTCCTTGATTATTGGCGTACATGGACATCAAAATCACGGTGTTTTGCAGATTGTACTGAAACAATTTCTTTTCCAGGCTACAAAATGGTTTCAGAAATCCAACAAGTGATGGATGGATGGCCACAGAGTTATTTGCGATGGAAGGTATTTATCGCATAAATTAGTTCAATTTCAGGGACGTTTAGAGCATCTCCAATGTTTAAAGTGAACTGTTGTACAATTAAATAGATGGCCTTATGTTTTCGTGGACTGATAGAATGACATGTTCATACATAACTTTCCAGTGCTAAATGTCTAGATACGTTAAATGTTTATTTACAAGTTTTTTTTTTTTTTTTCCTTTGTACTAAAAAAAGCCAAAACTTGCAGGGTCGAATTTTGAACCATGAAATCACAATAATTTTTGTAAATGTCTATACACGGTAAATGTTGTTGTTTTTTTTTTTGTACCTTTTTGTTCTGACATAATGACAGAAAACTTAAAGGCCGAATAAACTTTGGACCAACATCATTTTCAACAATATTTATTGCATATTTTCGCCAATTTTATTCACAGTTAAAGAGTGGTAGAATACTATAAATTATTCTTGTACTGAATCATAACTTCGGTATTTATTTTTGTTCCTGCAAAAAAAAATTCTTGTGCTTTTAGTATTTTGGCAAATACGACTTTTTGTATACCTAATTATAGATTTTAACTAAAAATAAAAGAAGTAAATATGAGGAAAAAAATTACTCAGTGTACAAGGGCTTTCATATGTAGAAATTCTAGATTTTTTGAGTCTCTCTCATGCCACATCATTCCAATACCTCTACACTTCTACAATTGACATTCCATTGGAGATGTTCCTATATGTTGTTGGTTAGCTTTGGGGTCTCGAGCTTCAGTGCTTGCTCAATGCGCAAACAACACCCTCACAATACGTTCTTTTTTTTTTTTTAAATACCTTTAATTGTTGTATGAACATGTAATCTGAATAAGGGCAATGCTATATGTACAATTGTTGTTTACAACATTAGTTGATAACATAGTTAAAAGTATCACTAACTTAAATCTTAACCATATATTTATTTGCATCTCAACTACCTACATTATGCCACATCTTGTATAATAACTTTTTCCATAAATAATTTGGGAACATCTAGTCCTACACACTTACTAAATGTCAAAGTTTACATGTAATTATACATAAAACTAGGTCCAGTGCACAACCAGATAGCCACTAATATATACACACATAATACATTGGATGTATCTGCTACAACTTTATTGTTGATTTGTGTCAACAGGAAACATTCATTATTAGAGATTTTTACTTGTTATCCACATTTGCATTGTGTGAATTATCAGGATTATATATATTTCAAGAAACAATGGAATTCGAGAAAAGTAGAGTAGACCGCTGAGTTTTGATATATGTCGTCCTCAAAATCTCTGAATATAATGGTAAAACAGGTAAAACACAGTTTAACACGAAATAAAAAGTAACCCAAACAAATGCAATAGTTTATCTTCCAATAACAAGGACATCTGAAAAATTGTTACTTCACCTCTTACACTAATGGAAAAAACATAACCAGCTTTTCAAGTCAACCGCTGAGCAGCTTCCTTGGCTAGAAGCCTCTCTTTCGCCTTAGTCTTAGCCTGGGATTTTGATCCCATAACACCACCTCCCCACTTCTTGCGGATCTCGTCATACTTATCGTTGAAGTTGGCCTAAAAATATAGCACAAATAAATACATCAGTTTCTCCCAGACTTACAATAACATAGTTAAGAACACAAAACAAGTAAAAACAGCAATTTTTCAGCTTCAAAATTATCGTCAATCAACCTTGATAGCTTCCAGGATCTTGCTGAACTCCAGTTTGTCTTCATTCTTCACGGAGGTCAAACACAAAACAGAGGCAGTCTTCTTATGAACAATCTGCAGATAAAATCCACAGCAGAATACAACTAAGTGAAGGAACCAAGAATGATTGCCATAGAAATTCTGACTCGACAAATTTATGTACCACTTACAGTTCCAAGTCTTGCCTTCCCCTTCACAATGCAGTACGGAATCTCCATTTTCCTGCAGAGAGCCGGGAGCCACACAACCAACTCGATGGGGTCCACATCATGAGCAATAACCACCAATTGAGCTTTGTTCTGCACAGCACGCATGAGAAGTAACAACAGGCCACAATCAAAATAGAGCAAAAATGTAATCAATGAAAAATACAAACCTGCTCGATGAGGTAGGTCACATGGTTGAGACCATATTTGACCACAATGGGCTTTTTCAACTCAGGGGCTTTTCCTTCAGCCTCGGCCTGAGCTCTTTTCAAAAGACGCTCTTTCTTTTGAGCTTTATCCTCTGGCCTGTACTTGAGAAGCATCTTGAAGAGGCTTGTTGCTGCATTAAGGAACGGAAAATAATATGACCAAATGCACCCAAGAGAACATTTCCTGACAAGAAGCAGAACTTAGATATTTGGATACTTTGATGTTCACATAAATCCAAAGACAAACAAACAACAAAATGAGAGAGACCAGCATGACCTTCTCACATTAACATGGACTGCTAATGTTCTCATTAACTTAATTAAATTCAACCACAATATGATGCAGATTAAGATCAGAAAAATGTATAACATCATTCATAACAAAAACATGCACCCCTTCCCACATTATGAATCGCAAACAAACCCAATAGTCATCCAGGTAATAGCGACAATGTGAAAGATTAGTTTTTGACGCCTCAGTGGTCTTCTCACACATACAACCACATAACTATATTAACGTGTTTGGAGCACTACAGCTTACATTAATGTGTTTGGAGGACTATAGCATTTAACTTATGTGATACCAAAAATCCAACTAAACATGCGCCTTACCACTCAGCTTGGAATTGAACGTCTATCCAAAACACATAAAAATTCAAAACAAAAACTTTGAAGAGACTGAGAAGCAAAAATAAAGGCCAATAAATTAAAAGAATGAAAGCCCATGAGCTAAAAAAAACAAAGGAATTAAAAGCTAGGATCTTAGGAGAACTGATGAACTGCAGTAAATAAAAGACAATCAGCTTGCAACTGCAGTAATTACACCGAAACTGAAAAAGAATAAGAACTTGCGTCTGCAGAAACGAACAATTTTATCAGGCACCACACCCACTTTCTACATTTCAAAACATCACTACAAGGGGAAACGAAAGTCAAATCGAAAGAGATGAGAGACTACAAACCCAAGTTCTTGTCGAGAGTCTTGGAGAACTGATGGATCGACGGCGGGACCTTGAGCCTCTGCTTAAGTATCATCTTCTTTCTCTGGATCCTCACCACCTGGGGCCATTTCACAAACCGGTGCAGGTCCTTCTTCGGCGGCAGAGCTCCGCCGATGCCAAACTGCTTGGGCCTCTTCTCGAACAGCGGGTTCACGACTTTCTCGGGCTTCTTCTTCGCCAGCGGCTTCGGGCCCTTCTTCGGAGCCTGCAACAATCCATTTCAATGCAAGCACGAATATTAGCTGTACTGAAACAAAAAGCAAGCATTACAGAGATTGGGAAGAGGGCAAAAACCATTTCTTCTTCGTCTGCTGATAGACGGCTATGGAACCCTAATGAGTTGATTATGTTGTAAGGCCACTCCGAGTAGAGGCAGTGCAGTTTAGGCTTATATATATACTTCCAAATGGGCCAAAACCCTTGGACGATTTGAATTTGACGTAAATGGGCCGGCTTAGTCTGGTCTCGGATATTTGTTCTGACAAAAATGTCCTAGCCCAACCGTAGTATTTTTTTTTTTTTAAATAACATTCGTCTTAATCGAAAGCATTTTAAACTTCTATGCATTCTGAACTAAAAGTCAAACAGTCTTAATTATTTTTTTTGGGTCTAATCATAACCATATTTTAACATATTTACAATAATTTAAATGTTTTATTTGCCTCCACTCTACAAAAATGTTCTCACTTGATGTTAAAGTACTTCATTTGGTCCTACCCGGCTCGATTTCGGATTAGTCGGTTCCCCTGTGGATCCGAAAACCGGAAGGTCCCTGTACCAAAAAAAAAGTACTTCATTTGGAATGCTCGAAACAGGCAGGCTTTAACGACCGCAGCTAGGAAAGGTCACTAGACCAATTATAGCAGACCATTTTTCTCAGTAATGCAACCTTTATTTTGCTGGGTCAGAGTTCTTGCAAATATGCAATAACTTCTTCGCAATATAAAATATAAATCTTATGATGTTTGCTCAACTGCAAAAATTGCCTATAAGGCCATCTCCAACCGAAAAATCCAAACTCAAACTCATTTTGCAGT